GAAGGAGTTCAAGATGGAGCTGGTGTTCTACAAGAAGGAAGGTGAGACTGTTCTCATAGTAAATAGTTTACGGTTAGTGTGTTCAAAAAGCGCTTTCAGACACAAAGGAAATTCGAAGTGCTAAGTGTTACATAAACATTAACACGCTAAAATAAAGTGAAATAAATGAAACGGAAAACAAGAAAATTCAAAAAGAGAGACTATTAACCTCTTAAGCACGGCGGTCCCCCCATTGGACCCCTCCCACCGTTTTGTTTTCGAGATAATGGCTTCTTAACATTTATGAAACTATTAATGTGTAGCACCAGATTAACGGGAAGAATCTCAGCTAACTGAAGATATGAACCATTTTTACCAAAACAAAACACAAGTCTCATAAGAAGGGTCTAAATGACCCCTGAGCGAAAAAATTCTAACGCACTGCGGCACACAATTCAAGATAAAGATACCCTTATTACTTATCGTAGCTGCACATACAATATAGCCTATTAAAGCTGAGACTCCACTGATTATTTAGGTATAGTATCATCACTGAGCGATCTGAACTTGCGACAGGGGAAGCAAACACAGACATCACAACACGTACCTTTACGGAGCTTTTACGGCAGATCGTCTCACCGTAGCTGTCAATTAGGTCAAAAGACGTGTTCAATGGCATTAAAACGAAAAAAAAAATGCTACAACTGTTGATCCATAGGTTGATAATGTACCTGTGCCTTTGAAGAAATTATTTATAATCCATAATTCCATTTTTTATGTAAATATCGGAGCGGAAAAGTTAGCTGCTAATGGTAGCCACCAGAGTGTATGCAGCTTCCGGTTTTGGTAACGCGTCACTCTCACTCCTTATTTGTTAACGTTTTGGTGTGTATATAACTTTCCCTCGATTCCATTGGCTCTAGCGGTTATAAAGAGATTTCATTCATCAAAATCGAGCAAGGGGGGCCAGAGATAGGTCAAATCCACCCAAATGACCCCAGAAGTGGGGGTTTTTGGCTAAATCTCTCTAAAAAGGTCAAATTTCACTTGTTTTGCATCAATCTTGATACAGGGTACTTATTATATGTTGTACTTTGGATTCCTAAAGCTTTTAGTCTACTAACCCATCATCCAAGGGTGGTTTTCACTATAAGTAAAAAAGAATTTTTGGACGGACACTATAATTTACATTTTTTTACTATGTAAAATCTGAATTTTCCTTAAAATAAAAAACATCTATATTGATTCTGACTTTTCTACATCCAACTCACAGGTTTATCATTACTTTGAGAACAAAGATTATTAATTTAACCCTTTTTAGAAGGGAAGATATGGTCATTTGTTCTGGGAATGTCATTTTCGAGCCTGAGACCTGAAAAACAGGCTCAGGGCTTAAGAGGTTAAAAATCAACATCTGGATAAACTGTTGATTCTGCAAGAGGAGCCAAAAGTACAAGTAAACATAAGAATAATTTTTCCATTGATTTCAATGTTTAGGGTTGAAGCAGAGCTCAAGTGGTCCGAACGACTCCAGATTCCAGATCTCTAGCATTGAATACATCTGAATGATAAATAAATCCTGTTTAGTCGGGCCAGCAGCTGAGGATTTGCATCTTTGTTTAGCAAATCTATCTCTCTCTCTCTCTCTCTCTCTCTCTTTCTCTATCTCTCTCTCTCTCTCTCTATCTCTATCTCTCTCTCTCTCTCTTTCTCTCTCTCTCTCTCTCTCTCTCTCTCTCTCTCTCTCTCTCTCTCTCTCTCTCTCTCTCTCTCTATCTATCTATCTTTGCCAGATTACATACATCCTAAATGGACTAAAGGAAAGACTGCATGAATGACCTTGCTGTAATCTTGCACTGCACACATGTGATCCTCTCCAACGCTCCAGCATAACAACATGCTGATGAGAGATTTCATAAAGGTGGAAAAAAAACGTTATCTGAATCTGAACTCATAAAAAGTCTGAACTCTTGGTGTGGTTTTCCAAAGTGTATGGGTGAGTTGAAGGAATAAATAAGATAGAACGTTTGTGTTGGAGGTGAGAAGGAGAGTGACAGAAAAACAGAAAAATCAAAAGTCTTCAGGAGGAAAAGGTTGTGAACAGAAAGAAAACTCATTCACCTATTCTTTATGAATTATTAACATAGGAGGTTCAGAAGCACAAAACAACAGCAGAGCTGGAGACATCTGCTCCTCTGAGATATGAGCTGTAACACAGAGCAACACAGGGTCATTGAAGCCTGTTTTTAAAAACACACAAATGACAAATTAAAGGAGTTGTGTGCTTTGATCAGCTCTCCATGAGCTCTCATTAGCATTTCAGCTGGAGGAAGAATACACACATTTACACCCAGTTCTCTTTCCTCAGATCTCCGTTGCTCTCCAACCAAAGCCGGGGGCAACATTTCAGAAATGCTATCCACAATCCTGCAAACTCATAATGCATTCATAGAAACATGATTTGCAGAATAATGCATTCACAGAATTGGCTTGTAATAAAAAAGTGTTTTAAAATTCAGAAGTCTCTAAAGAACACCTGATGGAGCGCCTGCTGAGCTTTCTTGAAAACAAATGTTAACATTGAACATATTCTTGAAGTGTAACAAACATAGTAAATATGATATACAAAATGGTTTCTGCATTTGACAAGTTGCTTTGTTTACATCCATGTTAGCTACCTTGTTAGCTTGTAGCTTTTCTGCTCACCTGTCAATCAGACAAGCCCTCTAGGAAAGAAGCTAGTTAGTAGGTGTGCTAGGATTTTATAACTTAGAGGTATTGTATGAAAACATTATTCGATTAAATATATAAAAATGACTAGACCTATGATATATTTAAGTGCTGTTAATTGCACGCATTATCCTCAATGTTTCCAAGATGTTCAAACTCAGAGAAGTCTTATATTTTAATCAAGGTAACAGTGGGCTATATTTTTTTACTTTGTGGATGTTTGGTCTTGTGGATGTCTGTCAGAAAATGGCATTAGTTCGATTTGTATCCTTACGTCAAACGTTCACTCTTTAAAAAATAAGTCTCTTATACTGGATGAATGATTTTAGTCATTGGGCGTCTGGACAAGCTGAGCTAACGTTAGCCGAACAGCCTTGGAGACACACTGATTTTAAGAGTATTCTACTTTATTCATAGATGTATTATGGGAGGCGTGTGGTGCAGTGGGTTGTGCGTTGGTGTTCGGATCAGGGTTCAAACCCCACTGCAGTCAGCATGTCGTTGTGTCCCTGAGACACTTCACCCCAAATTGCTCCCGTGGGGATTGCCCACAGGATTGAGTATGTAAGTCGCTTTGGATAAAAGCGTCTAACAAGTGACATGTAATGTAATGTAATGTATTAATTGCAGGTTCATTAGTTTTCTTAAAGAAATAGACCTCTGCGGATAATTTGGCTCTTAGGAAAATCTCCCCAAACGTATGGATCTATTAGTCATACAGCTCCTCCATCCTATCTTTGTCAAACATTGCATTGGAAACATTTCAACATGAAGCTTGGTTTATTATGTTGTACTAGTTGTATTCCTCATGTCCGTTCCTATCTCTAAAATATGGGAAAAACAATGGATGCTGTTCTCTAATAGTAACATAATAAATAATCAATATATATATAATGGCCGTCTTTATTTCTATACCTTATTAATATGAATGCATGGAGAGGCAGAACAGTACATGTTGTTCTACATGCTGCTGTTGTCACACAGGAGCAGATCCAGCATCACATGGCTGATGTTTTTATTAACTCCGTCCTCTCGCTCTCCTTCAAATGCATTATTTACATGCATGATCCCCTGCAGGGACTCAGTCTCTCAGTATGCAGCACACACAGGCATAGATTACAGGTGAAAGAAAACTCCTACAGCTGCTTTTCTCCTGATGTTATTCATGTAGCGGACAGCAGGCGCTTACATCTCTCACATGGTTACATACAGATAAGGCTGGAGCCATTCAGCATTTTCCACAATGTCTACTAATCCCATCAAAAGACCCCAACCAACAATGAATTTATATACAACACTGTGTGGGTATCATGAAATGTTTCTGCTACGTGCTGTAAAATACTCCCCAAAATACACAGTATAATAAAAAGATGCATGTACAAATACATACATGTAATGTGACTCTGCAGAGACACTTAAGCTGACTATATAAATGGAGTGAATTAAAAATATAGTAATATACAATGGAAAAGCTCAAGTAAAGTACTGCAAAAGTAAGTCAAAATGGTTCTTTTTGGTAAATGTATTACAGCCAGAGGTGGGAGAAGTACTCAGATCTGGTACTTGAGTAAAAGTAGAAGTACTCAGAGCTTGTACTTGAGTAAAAGTAGAAGTACTCAGATCTGGTACTTGAGTAAAAGTAGAAGTACTCAGAGCTTGTACTTGAGTAAAAGTAGAAGTACTCAGATCTGGTACTTGAGTAAAAGTAGAAGTACTCAGAGCTTGTACTTGAGTAAAAGTAGAAGTACTCAGAGCTTGTACTTGAGTAAAAGTAGAAGTACTCAGATCTTGTACTTGAGTAAAAGTAGAAGGACTCAGATCTTGTACTTGAGTAAAAGTAGAAGTACTCAGATCTTGTACTTGAGTAAAAGTAGAAGTACTCAGAGCTTGTACTTGAGTAAAAGTAGAAGTACTCAGATCTTGTACTTGAGTAAAAGTAGAAGTACTCAGATCTTGTACTTGAGTAAAAGTAGAAGTACTCAGGTATTGTACTTGAGTAAAAGTAGAAGTACTCAGATCTTGTACTTGAGTAAAAGTAGAAGTACTCAGATATTGTACTTGAGTAAAAGTAGAAGTATTCAGGTCTTGTACTCGAGTAAAAGTAGAAGTACTCAGATCTTGTACTTGAGTAAAAGTAGAAGTACTCAGATCTTGTACTTGAGTAAAAGTAGAAGTACTCAGATCTTGTACTTGAGTAAAAGTAGAAGTATTCAGGTCTTGTACTCGAGTAAAAGTAGAAGTACTCAGATCTTGTACTTGAGTAAAAGTAGAAGTACTCAGATCTTGTACTTGAGTAAAAGTAGAAGTACTCAGATCTTGCACTTGAGTAAAAGTAGAAGTACTCAGATCTTGTACTTGAGTAAAAGTAGAAGTACTCAGATCTTGTACTTGAGTAAAAGTAAAAGTACCAGAGTGTATGAATACTCTGTTACAGTAAAGGTCCTGCATTCAAAATGTTCCTCAAGTAAAAGTATTAAAGTATTATCATCATATTATAGTGAAAGTAGCGACAGTAAAAGTAGTCATTGTGCAGATTGGTCCATTTCAGAATAATATATATGATATGTTTTATAATGATTGATCATGAAAGTGTTCTCAAAGCTGGTAAAGGTGCAGCTAGTTTGAATGACTTTGTATACTGCAGGGTAGCTTGTGAATTTACTCCAGGTGGAACTAAAGTCTGATTTAACACTTGATTATATTTCACATCATTCATCCACATCTGGAAAGTAACTAAAGGGATTAAATACATGTAGTGGAGTAAAAGTACACCACCATGTACCTCTGAACTGTAGTGGAGTAAAAGAACACAGTAGCATAAAGTGGAAATACGCGTGCGTGCGTGCGTGTGCGTGCGTGTGGTAGTTTCCAGTTGAAGTGGATCTATCTATCCTGCAGTCTCTCTCTGCACACTGCACTACTCACTGGGGGGTCTGCAGAAATCTCAGGTTATTAATACCAGAGGAGAAATCAGTGTTTCCTGCAGGTTGAAGGGTGACTTTGAACACAGTCTGATTATTGCTGCAGGCACATGGTACCTCTCACTGTATAGATATATATATATATAGAATATATGGTGGTCACGTTCTGGGGGAAAAGTAATACCATCTCAAGAGGTCATTGCAATTCATTTCTCTTCATAAATAATGTGCTAACCATAAGATGGATACTGAGGGACATTGGAAAGACAGTTCATCCATTCTTACATTTCCTTTATTGTTCCTTTTTACTTTCGGAGCATGTAATGTTCAAGATTCACTGGTTTCATTGTCCAATGCACAATATCTACAGGGACGTTGTTTGCAATGATCCTTTTAGCCCCTAATCTCCTCGAATAGTGCAACATCTAAGACATAAAAGGAATAAGGAACTAAATAATGCAAGAAGAAATGTGCAAGCTGTACAATGGTGCCAGGACAATGCAGGAACACTGTATATGTCGGATAGAATAAGATCATTTTTAGTTCATGTGTGTTTTTAGGGTTATCTCAGAACCTTAATATGTATTTTACACAAAATCACATGGATTTAAACATAAGAGTGAAGTCGTGTTGGTGCATTTTCTTAAGCATTGCACTTCATTGTAATATTAAGGTACTTTCCTGCAACTCTATACTTCTACTACATTATATTTTGGAGGCAAATGTTGTACATTTATGATTAAAATTAAAATGTACACCCCAGCCAGAACTTTAAGGTCTGTTGACCAGCTGCTGCTGGTAGTGCCCAAGACCAGGCTCAAAACCCGAGGGCACCGAGCCTTCGCAGCAGCTGGCCCGAGGCTCTGGAACACTCTGCCCCTCCATGTGAGGTCGGCCCAGACCCTAGGGGTTTTTAGATCCTCACTAAAGACTCACTTCTTCTCTCTGGCTTTCTAGTTAGAGCGGAGCACGACTCCTGACTTTTCCCTGTGTTTTTGTTTTTTATATTTCTGTTGTAAATTATTGTCTTTTATTGTGATTGGTAGTAATGTGTTTTTATTACATGTACAGCACTTTGGCTCGACCAAAAATCGTTTTTAAATGTGCTATATAAATAAAACTTGATTTGATTTGCTTTGAAAACAACATAATAGCCGCTTTCACACCAAGTACTTTGCCGTACTCAGTGCCCCGGCACTTATGACCCCAGGGCATTTAGTACAGATCGCGTTCACACCGGAGTACTTTTCCCTGAGGGAAGATTACGCAAATGAGCCGCTGACGTCACTTCTTCTTCTTCTGCTTTGGGTTTACTGGCAGGCCGCAAACAACTTCACGGCGTATACTGCCACCCGGAGTCCCGGCCGGAAGTCCCCGGAGTTGGGGACTGGCTTCAGTAGAAGCTGCTGGGACTCCCAGCAGCTTCTACTGAAGCCTTCAGAGTAAATCGCCAGAACGCCGACACCTCCTCATCTCCACCGCTCCCATGTTTTATTTTGTGTTGCCATAAGTTAGTCTCTCTGTGTTTCTGCGCTGGGCTAATGCTAATAATGCTAATGCAAGGATAATAAAATGGCGGCTTCACAAAACCTTTTTGGAGTTTTACGGGGCGTGGTTTGCAATTCGCCCAGCCAATAGAAATTGGTACTTTTTTGGTACCACCTCTCTAGCAGGCACTAAAAATGGGGGTAAAAGTTCCCGGCACTAAGTACTCTTTTTGGTGTGAACGCGACATCAGGGGTACTAACGGAACTAAACGGGAAAAGTACGGGGGAAAAGTACTCCGGTGTGAACGCGCCTAACGTAGTTTACATCCAACCAGAAGAACAAAACAGTAGTAAAGTGCATTGTGATCTTAAGTTTATAAATACATACATCTGACAGTATTTACATCACGTACAGTATAAGGCAGTATAAACATTACAAACAGCAGTTTAGAAAAAGACTACACTTTAGCTATATGGTATTAATAAGACACAGTACAGAATAAATAGAAATATATTATGGACCGTTTTTGTCAGGTTTAAAATACCAAGAATAAATATGAGTGTGCCATAATAGATAAAGGTGATATAGATGTTTGGACATTTTATAAATACAGATACGTTGGTTGATGCACCACTGCATTTATTTAACTACGTCAAGATGTACTTTTATAGATTTGTATAAAATGGTATTGATCCCTGGGGGAATCCACAGGCGATCCAGCAAAGTCATTATAATTAGTTCCACCTTTACCAGCTGCAACATTAACACGATTAACTCATTAATGCATGTATGATTGATGGGGTGGCTGTGGCTCAGTGGGCTGGACTTCGAATCAGGGGATAGCAATTTCGAGTCCCACTGCAGTCAGCATGTCGTTGTGTCCCTGGGCAAGACACTTCACCCCAGATTGCTCCTGTGGGGATTGTCCACAGTACTGAATGTATGTAAGTCGCTTTGGATAAAAGCGTCTAACAAATGACATGTAATGTAATGTAATGATTAGGATCCAATCATATTTTGACTTGTTTGAAAGATGTACCTTGGTCTGAGGAAGAGACAATTCACTTTTGGAGCTGATAACGTTGGAGGATAAGAATTGTGTTTGACTTTCGTTAACATTTTGCAATAGAGCGTTTTGGCTGTTTGATGTCTAAATACTCTGAAAAAAACGGGTAATGAACTCCAGTTAACGTGTTTTAAAGCTCAAGACAAAATTGACAACATTCAGGATTTGGACTGAGGCATACATGAAGGCACCTTGGTCGACTTCTGGTAGTTTAACGTGTGCATCGTACAGTCTGTGAATGCTGCAGAAGACCATGATATGCAGATGAAAGCTACAGGAAAAATATGTATAGATGTCTTATTATGCATAGTGCGTCTATTGCGACATGTCTCGATGCTTTAATGTTCAAAAAGCTCTTTATTTTTCTCAGACAATTTCATTTTGAAGCTGATCACATTGGAGGATACAAATTATGTTTTGACTTTCGTTAGCAATAGGGCGTTTTGGCTGTTTGATGTCTAAATACTCTGAATGTCTAATCAACTCATGTTAACGCCATCCTCAAAGTAAGAACAGCAAATCGTAAACAGCTATAAAAGTGTTTTTTAACACAACCCAAGAGATATAATGAAGCACATTTACTTTTTAGTGTCCATGCTGTTTCCAAAATTATGACTTAAAGGGCCCATGTCATGCTTTTCCGGTTATGACCCGTCCCCTTGTGTGTTATGAAGGTTTTTCTGCATGTAAACGGTGTGCAGAGTCACAAACCCTCAAAGTACACCCTGTAGCCAGTAAAACTCTAACACAGAAAAGACCTGTCTATGCTGCCCCAGAACGCCTCGTTGGGGATACGTCATTGTCCATTTGATTCTTCCATTTCGTTCCGGGTACGGCATGATGTCAAGCCGTACCCGGAACGAAATGGACCAATCTGTGGAGCCGTTACGTTACGTCCGCGGAGCCGTTACGTTAAGCCCCCGCTGATTGGGCCAAATTGACCAATCCACGGACTTCCTCACACACACATCTGTGTGCAGGGAGCAGGCAGCTCAGCTGATTTCTCCTCCCTGGCTGCAGGCTGATAACAGACAGTTGGGATCGCGGCGAAATTCTCTTTGCAGACCCATTCTCTCTGCAGACCCATTCTCTCTGCAGACCCATTCTCTCTGCAGACCCATTCTCTCTGCAGACCCATTCTCACAGCGTTTATCAACCTTTTTCTTACTCAATATCAAGTCACACTTATTGTTTTTACTTCGGATGTGAGTTTGTGTGTGCTCAGGATGAGTTTGGCTGTGTTTCGCTATGTATCCTAAACAAGGAAACAACACCTCCACGGAGCTCAGCGCGATTCACAACGTCCCGACCAATCAGAGCACACTGTGCTCACAGGGAGGGTGGGGGCTGGAGTTATTGGAGCTACAACGAGCCGTTAAAGGCAGAGAGTGAAATTCAGTGAATACACGTAGTTTACAGAGATGCTGTTTGAGAAACCAATGTGAGTTTGGAAAAATGCACAATATAAATCTATTCTAGTAGACCTCAATAATGGAATTATGATCAGTGGAAATGGCCATGACATGGGCTCTTTAAAGCTCAAGAAAATAAGAACAACTTACCAAATCAGGAAATGGGCGTACATGAAGGCACCTTGGTCGAGTTCTACACAACGCTATTTAGTTTAATGTTCTTTTGATACACTGACTGTATGTTTCCCTCTGTGTTTCTCTCTCTCCAGGTACACAGTTCTGGTGTCTTCTGGACATTGTACCCATCAAAAATGAAAAGGGGGAGGTGGTTCTGTACCTGGTGTCCCACAAAGACATCTCGGACAAGAAGAGGGACCAGGATCCAGAGCATGGGCCTGAAACAGGTGAGTTTACCTCAACAATAACAGGTAGTTTAACTTTGAACTGCATCGTACAGGAGGACATATAATGCATATCAGTATGGAGTGTCTCTACTTTAAAGAGTCCTCTCCTGCTGATGTTCAGGTGTATATCAGTATGTAGTGTCTCTACTTTAAAGAGTCCTCTCCTGTTGACGTTCAGGTGTATATCAGTATGTAGTGTCTCTACTTTAAAGAGTTCTCTCCTGCTGATGTTCAGGTGTATATCAGTATGTAGTGTCTCTACTTTAAAGAGTCCTCTCCTGCTGATGTTCAGGTGTATATCAGTATGTGAAGTCTCTACTTTAAAGAGTCCTCTCCTGCTGATGTTCAGGTGTATATCAGTATGTAGTGTCTCTACTTTAAAGAGTCCTCTCCTGCTGATGTTCAGGTGTATATCAGTATGTAGTGTCTCTACTTTAAAGAGTCCTCTCCTGCTGATGTTCAGGTGTATATCAGTATGTAGTGTCTCTACTTTAAAGAGTCCTCTCCTGCTGATGTTCAGGTGTATATCAGTATTGTCATGGCCTGGCTCTTAGCCATAACAAAAAGCGTGGGAAGGACAAGAATATGTAAAAAATGTGTTTATTTAGCAAAACTTAATGTGTCCGAAGACAAACAAAAAGGCAAAGCACAAAAACATAGGCGACGTGGCTGCTCTCCGAGGTCCGGTCCTCTGCGGGGAGAGAGAGATCGAGACTCTGCCTCCGGCCTCTTTATCCTCCGCCAGCCGCCAGGTGTCCTTAATCAAGGCGTCAGGTGTCCCCAATCAGGGCGTCACAAGCAGAGGAGAAACATTAAAGGGCCATGCACACCACAGGAGACAACAAGGCAGGGGTCGTCACACCCCCCACCCCTTAAAGTCGGTGTCCCCAGGACCACCGGCACACCAATCCCAACCCTGACAAAACAAAAAACACCAGTAATGAACAACAAAAACACAAGACATAATGCACCCCACCTCCAACAAAACCACCAATTGCAACATACAACCCTCACACTGCCAAACGCTCCTCCAACACCCAGCCACATCTTTAGCAACTCAGGTAAACTACCTGAGAAGCACACTTTAAAAGGATGGGCAGAGCGAGAACGATTTATCGAACAGTATGACAGACAATACATTACCGTCACGGCCCATGTTTCCTCAGTTGTAGCAGTTAGTTTCACTGGCTTTACTGCACTGCACCGCAACGTGGCCAGTGTCGCCACACCTGTAACATTTCACCCTACTGCACCGTCTCTGGATGTGACCAAGCCCACCGCAGGAATAGCACTTCCGGTCGTTGGCATGCCCACAGTCACGAGCCATGTGTCCTTGGTCTCCACACCGATAGCAGGACATTTCCTTGCCTCTTCCTCGACCCCTGCTGCCGCCACCACGACCACCATCAACGCTACCGCCACCACGACCACCATCAACGCTACCGCCACCACGACCACCATCAACGCTACCGCCGCCACGACCACCATCAACGCTACCGCCACCACGACCACCATCAACGCTACCGCCACCACGACCACCATCAACGCCACCGCCGCCACGACCACTTTGACTAGTGGGACAATGCTTGGTCTTCTGGTTTCCAAACATATTTTTGTCCATAGCACGAGTGGTCACACAAGAGGACGTGACGTCTGCCAACACTGTAGAGCTCTCCTCAGACCCTGACTCAATCGGACCGCCAGTGACTAAAAACGCAGGGGGAACATCAGTCCAGACTCTGCTACCTGCCAAACCGTTGCCCAGGATGAAGTGTATCCCCTCGATTGGCAAAGCTGGACGTACACCAACAGCCACCTCACCCTTAACAAGATCACAGTCAATATACATCCTATGAACAGGAATAGGAAGAACTTTTAATCCCATTCCCCAACTCAGAACGGTGTCACCAGTGTCACTTTCATAAGACAAAGGCAAAACAGAGTCAACAATATAGGAATCAAAAGCCCCTGTGTCTCGCAAGATTTTGATTGGAACTCTGACATTACTACCTACCAATGACACCAAGCCGTCTCGTATAAATGGAGCATAAGATGCCAAAACCTCAGATCCACATATAGTACAGCGGATAAGCACAACAATTGTGCATTTTATGAGAAAAGCATGACATTTCTAACATAGTTAGTGCATACCATAAGGTTTATTTTCAGATGTGGAGGGAAGTCAGATTTGACCCGTGAGGACCGTGAGAGGTCAAATCCAAGATGGCCGGCAGTCTCTCGGGTCAAATGTTCAAACACGTTTAATTTTGGAACCAAACATTGTAGAAAAACATTTAAGGTGTCATATCCAACTAAATTAGGGATGCCCAATCATTTGATGATACTTTTGAGATCGCCAGAATTCAAGAAAATGCATTTAGGTGAAGATAAAGGTAGAAATTGACCAAAAATAAGCTGTCAATCAGTTGAAATTTGGTGTGTGTGTGTGTGTGTGTGTGTGTGTGTGGTCACCCAGCGCTAGCATTAATACAGAGACTGGAGGAATATGGCTTTACTTGGCACAGTCTGCATGCTGAAGCAAACATTTGTTTTTGTCTTCAAATACATACTTACATGATTGTGACGAGCATAATATTTGCTCCCCGCCCAACTCTCTAAGTGCTTGAACTCCGTGACAGGGGGATGAAGTATGTATAAATGGATGGAACTATCAACAAAACAACAGCGTTTTATTCCCCAATGTCATATTTAATAGAAAAATAATGATGCACCACTTATTGGAGAAAGAAGAATGGGGAACAGAAAGGTTTAGAGAGGGACAACATGCTGAAACCTTGCAACTTCAGTGCCAGAGAAAAAAGGTACTGCGAGTACACTTGTGGTTATTGTCCTCATGTTGCACATAGAAAATTCAATTAAGATGTTTACCGCATGTGGGCAAAAATCCATCAATCTTTCAATTTTCTAAAACTTGTTATATCCTTAGAGTCATTTAAAATGAGTTTTTTTCTCCATGCCATGGAGTCTAAATGGGTAAACCTTTGTATTTGTAATTGTACAGCCATGCTAGGACAAACAAATCCCCTTTGCCCATGTTCTCTCTGCACTCTCTGTCACACACACAACATACATAACCCTTTCTTTGCATGACCTCTAAATGTCCATGTGAGCCACTAAAGAACAGAAAAAAAGCTGCGCTACCTTGGCTTTATAGGTGGACAGGCAGGGAATCGAACCCCAACCCTCTATAAGTGGAAAGGGACAGCGGTGAACCTTATAGTTGAGTGCAGCCCTTTGTTAACAGCGAGGGTTAAGAGAGCTGTTTGTGCTCTACATGGAACTGTTTTCCATCTCCCTCTTTGGTTTACATTATTATTATTATTTTTCTATTAAATATGACATTGGGGAATAAAACGCTGTTTTGTTGATAGTTCCATCCATTTATACATACTTCATCCTCCTGTCACGGAGTTCAAGCACTTAGACTTAGAGAGTTGGGCGGGGAACAAATATGATGCTCGTCACAATCATGTTAGTATGTATTTGAAGACAAAAACAAATGTTTTCATCAGCATGCAGACTGTGCCAAGTAAAGCCATATTCCTCCAGTCTCTGTAGTAATGCTAGCGCTGGGTGACCATAAATCCACTGGAATATACCACACACACATTTTGCAAATTTCAACTGATTGACAGCTAATTTTTGGTCAATTTCTACCTTTATCTTCACCTAAATTCATTTTCTTGAAGTCTGGCGATCTCAAAAGTATCATCAAATGATTGGGCATCCCTAATTTACACACACACACACACACACACACACACACACACACACACACCAAATTTCAACTGATTGACAGCTTATTTTTGGTCGATTTCTACCTTTATCTTCAACTAAATTCATTTTCTTGAATTCTGGCGATCTCAAAAGTATCACCAAATGATTGGGCATCCCTAATTTAGTTGGATATGACACCTTAAAGTTTTTCTACAATGTTTGGTTCCAAAATTAAGCGTGTTTGAACATTTGACCCGAGAGACTGGTGGCCATCTTGGATTTGACCTCTCACGGTCCTCACGGGTCAAATCTGACTTCCCTCCACATCTGAAAATAAACCTTATGGTATGCTCTAACTATGTTAGAAATGTCATGCTTTTCTCATAAAATGCACAATTGTTATAATATGAGAGCTTATCCGCTGTACTAATAATAGAACATGTTGCTTACTTCCCATTGGAATTAATAAAGCATTTCGATTGTTTACATTTCTTTATATTATCTAAACACAATTGCGTTGCTAGGCAACAGCATGGTTCCATTCTTACTTCCTGTCAGCTGATGTCACTCCTTATTTGGAATGGAACCTTCAGAATTATGACATCATCTTTTGCCTTTATGTAGAATTCTGAATTCTAGGAGTTTGCAGGACAGAGCAGCAGGCAGAAGCAATTTGTCCAGCTAGTGTCAGATCATTGCAGAAATAGGTTTTGTTGCAAGCAAACATTAGGGATACTTGCAGTGTTTTTTAGCGAGATAATCTTCACAAGTGAACTCAACTTTTGTGGGATTTTTGTGACGTTAATTCAGTCGAACAATTACATATAGTTTGCTAAACAACAGGTAATTTCGTCACAGCGGTAGAGATGGAGATGAACAATAGAGATGAGCTGGCAGTCAAGCTCGAGATTCTGCAAAAAGAAAATCAGGAAATGAAGTTGTTGCTGGAGCAGGAGAGGACTTTAAGGGATAAGCTTGAGATTGAAGGCACTAAAAAGAAGGAAGCGATGTTCAAAGCATATACAGAGAAATCATCTTTGCAGTTTAAGCACAATGTGAAAGTGAAAGTCCAGGAAATTGAGCAGAACGTCTTGCGCGTCAACAATGAGGACCTGAACATGAAATACAGAAACCTCCAGAGGTCACACAAGAAGGTCGAAGCCGAGATGGCTGCAGTTGAGGAACTCGAACAACTGAAAGAACCCTGTGTTGAGGAGCAAGGTGTAGAGATGGCTGCTTTGCGTGAGACAAATCAGGAACTC